TTTCCCCAAAGTCCTCGCCCCAACTCCGCCCACTCCCTGCCCCTATTGGACTCCTTCCCCAAATCCCCGCTCTGTCCCCGCCTCTTCCCTGCCTCCATCCCTGAGTGTGCCGTGTTCCTGCTCCTCCCTCCCACAGCTTGTTACACTGCGATACAGCTGTTTTGCAGCAGCAAGCGCTGGGAGGAGAAGCGGGGACGCGACGCGCTCAGGGGAGGAAGCGGGGGTGAGATGAGCTGGGGTGGGGAGCTTGGCTGCTGGTGGGTGCAGAGCACCCACCAATTTTTTCCCTGTGGGTGCTCCAGCCCCGGAGCACCCACGGAGTCGGGACCTATGGACTTGGGTGCCTTTTTCTTTGTCCCATCATGGTTAAATTGACAGCTCCTTGCCTGCTCTTAGTCTCTCTCTTTCTCCCCAATGGGCACCATTTCGTTGCCTTTCTGCTCTTGCTGAGGGTGGGTCTTTTTTCACTGGTAGGGATCTGGGTCTCTCTCTCACACTCACTCCCATGTAAGTTTGGATGAATATCTTCTCCACTGTAGGTTGCTCCTATCCATCCATATCCACTCCTAGATCCTAGTCTAGTCTAGTGGTCTATGTTTTTTATACCTATCTGTTCAGTATTGCCACCTCTCACAGTTTTATTGTGAGTCTCAAAATATTAACTATTAAAGCCCCAGCTCTTGAAATTATATGATGCTGTTCATTTAAAAGAGCACGATAGCCCCCCAAATTGCAGTGAAAAGCTGGAGCTCAAACAATAAAGGCAAAAAGACCTAAAATTTATTATTCATAAGCCAATCTAATAATTTTTTGTGGCTTGACTCAGCCTGTCTCTTTGGCATTGAATTGCTTCTCTAAGAAGTTCTGAGTGACTGGAAGTCCCTGGGGGACCATATTTCCATGTTTGGCTGCAGGGGGCAGAGCTGCTTCACAAAGGGAAGCAGACAGCAAGGCCAAGCCCTGGCATTCAGACCGGGATCAAATGGAGGGACCTTGAAGTCCAAATGGGTTTCCGCCACCTCACTGGGTATCTTATGCAGTGGTCTGGGCCAGTGTCCACCCAGTGTCTCCATTCCTGTCTAATCTACTTGTGACCCTGAGCCAAGACCTTGCATTTTAAGTGATTTCCAAGTTCTGTCCGCACGTCTTTGAGGAGCAGGATGTACAGCAGAGGATCCAGGACATTGCCCAGAGTGGTGAGGCACAGTGCTACCTGGCTGTAAATGAAGAGGTTTGTCTCAAAGAGGCAGAGACCTTCATTGTTCTGAACCATCTCCCTCTGGTATTTGTAGAAGGAGGTCACCTGGTAAGGAGCACAAAGCAGGAAGAAGGAGATGATGATGAGGGAGATGAAGCTGTAGATTTGCCTCTTTGTCTTCCGCTCCAGTGATGGCACCTGCCTGAGCTTGTGCAGGACCTGGAGGTAGAAGAAGCCCATGAAGAAGCAGGGTAGGAAGAAGGACAAAGCCATGGTGGCCATCTTAAAACGTGCATAGGACATGCCCAGTGGGTAACCCTCATAGCAGCGCCCTGCTTCTGGCTCCTTCCGCAGTAGCCCAGTGCCTATGGAGCAGATGCTGAGCACCAGCACCCACGCAGTAGCGCTGACCTTGGTGGCACCACGTATTGTCTGTAGCCCACGGAACCACAGGGGATGGACCACACCTATGTAGCGCTCCATGGCAATGAGGCACAGGAAGCCATTCTTGGCATAGAAGTTGGTGATGAAGCCCAGGCTGACTGCCACGCAGGCCCCGGTCCCCAGATCCCAGTTGTGATCCCAGTAGCTGTAGTAGATCCAGAAGGGCAACATCAGGGTCTGCAGCAGGTCAGCTACTACCAGGTTCAGCATATAGACAGAGAGGACGATGGATTTGTTTATCTGGGACACCAGGGTCCAAAGCGCTAGGCAGTTCAGCGGCAAGCCAGCCCCCAATACCACAGAGTAGACGGGGATGAGGAAGTATTTGGTGGAGTTAAAGGCCATTGGGCAGGGCGAGGCCATGGTATTCACCTTACCCAGCAGAGTCAGTGATTGTTACCAAGGGCCTTGGTTGCCATCCTGCATGGAAGGGGACACAGGCCCCTGTCTTCAAGGTCACTGTCTTACAGTGGAGGCTACATCCAGTTCTCCAGGATGACTGTCAAGGGGAACACAGCCACTCCACTTACTCCCAAGCTGCACTCTTCAAAGAGTCTGTAAGAGACAGAAAAACCGAGTGCTATATGGAAAAAGCAAGGCAGCCCAAGCACCTGACTGTCCTTGATTCCTTGCTCCCTTTATCAAACAGCTAGGGAGAGATTTCACTGCCTAGTAACCCTTGTGTTAGGATCTGAGCTAGAGAACAAGCCTGAAACTAAGGCTTTTAAAGCCTCCTTGTTAGTGCAAACGCTACAGCAAAGCTGGGCTGTCTGGCCAGGAAGCAGTCACAACTTCCTGTCCCCCTGGCAGGCCAGTTATGCTCTTAAGCAAGGAAAGTCCTACCCCAAACTCCCAACAAACTAAATGCAAACAAAAGTGATGAGCATTGGCTCTTGGTGCAAGGCTTCCATTTTGACAAAGCTTTTCCACTATAATCATATGATCTTTACAACAACTGCTCCCCACAAGCTCAAGCAGAGCTTCCCACAGCTGTGGCAGTGAGAAAAGCTGAAGACTCAGTGAAATCCCCTAGGGATCTTGCTTTGCCAAATAATGAACTTGGGAGGCACTTGAACATTGTGATGATTGGTGCCAGTATCAGAAAGAAAGGGCTCATCAGAGTCACAGGCCAGGGCTAAAATCAAGGACAGCTAGGCGTTGGCTCCAAAAATTGCACCATGCATGGGTCAAATGCATCTCAGAACCTCCCCTCACCCCTTAGTCCCTTTTCCAACCCTCTTCAGCGAAGGGGCTTTGGACCCCATTCACCATTGTGTTGCCCCTTGTGTCATTATTTACAGTAGTGTGAAATGCCACCTTTTTGATTAAAGCTTTTCACACCCACTTTGCATTGGTGTTAAATGAAGCCCCAAGATGCAAGCCCCTTATGTGTAAAGCACTTAGTGCGCTTCTTGGTGTTGTGCAAATAACAACGCAGTAAGCATATGGACAAATGCACACTCAGACTTATCGCTCCACCATCATTTGTAAGCACCACACAAGGCCAGGGCCACTGAGTCTGTGTGCATAAAAGAAACAGCCTTGGATACATGGAAGGAGCCTTTGAATGTAAGGGAAGGACCAGGTTCAGTTCAAACACAGGAAATTGTGCCTGACTCACATACGGCAGCAGAATTGGTGGGGGGCAGAGCAATGAATGAGAGCTATAGAATGATCACAAATGGGGTCATGTTACACAATAACCCAGACTGCTACAGAAACTGTCAACTCTTCAGACTGATTCTGTTGCAGTTTAGATACCGGGGCTGGGATTTTCAAAGAGCCTAAGGAAGTTAAAAGCAACAAAGAGTCCTGTGGCACCTTATAGACTAACAGATGTATTGGAGCATAAGCTTTCGTGGGTGAATACCCACCACGTCTGACAAAGTGGGTATTCACCCACGAAAGCTTATGCTCCAATACATCTGTTAGTCTATAAGGTGCCACGGGACTCTTTGGCCTGGTCTACACTACGAGTTTAGGTCGACTTTAGCAGCGTTAAATCAAATTAAGCCTGGACACGTTCACACGACGAAGCCCTTTCTTTCGACTTAAGGGGCCCTTTAAACCGGTTTCTTTACTCCACCTCCGACAAGGGGATTAGCGATAAAATCGGCCTTAGCGGGTCGGAATTGGGGTAGTGTGGACGGAATTCGACGTTATTGGCCCCCGGGAGCTATCCCACAGTGCTTCTTTGTGACCGCTCTGGACAGCACACTCAACTCAGATGCACTGACCAGGTAGACAGGAAAAGCCCCGCGAATGTTTGACTTTCATTTCCTGTTTGCCCAGCGTGGAGAGCACAGGTGACCACTCAGAGCTCATCAGCACAGGTAACCGTGATGGAGTCCCAGGATCGCAAAAGAGCTCCAGCATGGACCGAACGGGAGGTACGGGATCTGCTTGCCATATGGGGAGATGAATCAGTGCTAGCTGAACTCCGTAGCAGTAAAAGAAATGGCAAAATATTAGAAAAGGTCTCCAAGGCCATGAAGGACAGAGGCCATAACAGGGACGCACAGCAGTGCCGCGTGAAAATTAAGGAGCTAAGGCAAGCCTACCACAAAGCCAGAGAGGCAAACGGAAGGTCCGGGGCACAGCCGAAAACATGCCGCTTCTGAGCGGAGCTGCATGCCATGCTAGGGGGTGCAGCCACCACTACCCCAGCCGTGTGCTATGACGCCTTCACTGGAGAAACACACAGGGAAGAAGGTTCAGGGTACGAGGAAGAGAAGGATGAAGATAATGTGGATAGCTCACAGCAGCAAGGAAGCGGAGAAACTGGTTTCCCCAACAGCCAGGATATGTTTATCACCCTGGACCTGGAGCCAGTAATCCCCAAACTCACCCAAGGCGTGCTCCCAGACCCTGAGGGCACACCGGGGACCTCTGGTGAGGTGTACCTTTGTAAATATTACACATGGTTTAAAAGCAAGCGTGTTTAATGATTAATGATTAATTTGCTCTGGCAATCGCGGCCAGTACAGCTACTGGAAAAGTCTATTAACGTGTATGGGGATGGAGCAGAAATCCTCCAGGGACATCTCCAGAAAGCTCTCCTTCATGTACTCCCAAAGCCTTTGCAAAAGGTTTCTGGGGAGGGCTGCCTTATCTCGTCCGCCACGGTAGGACACTTTATCACGCCAGGCCAGTAGCACGTAGTCTGGAATCATTGCATAACAAAGCATGGCAGTGTATGGTCCCGGTGTTTGCTGGCATGCAGACAACATCCATTCCTTATCGCTCTTTGTTATCCTCAGGAGAGTGATATCATTCACGGTCATCTGGTTGAAATGGGGTGATTTTATTAAGGGGACATTCAGAGGTGCCCGTTCCTGCTCTGCTGAACAGAAATGTTCCCCGCTGTTAGCCACGCGGTGGGGGGGAGGGGTGAAGTGATCATCCCAGAGAATTGGGTGTGGGGGGGAGGGGGGTTAGTTGGGTTTGTGTTGCATGTTAATCCGGGAACCGCAGCCCCTCCTTTTACATTGCAACCCCATTTTAAATGGCCAACCCAACGGGTGTGTGGGATGGGAAAGGAGGGTGCCACTGTTTGAAACCATTCCCACATGTTAA